CCAGGAACGAATGAACAAACCTGGAACGGTTGCCTCACTCAAGTCAAGTTGAATACAGCGCAATGTGTATTGTTATTTGATATACAATTTATAGTTATTCTCGTTACATGCGGATTGGCACATGTTTTGGGGCAGGTGGGATTTTATATCTGTATGGATTGAATTTGAAATCACTACTAATGGTTAAAAAAGATCAACAAATCTGTTTTCATTATATTTATGAAACAGATAATATAATAGTAGATAACAGAGATAATGAATTTCATACACATACACATACCAATGCATACATACAAGCTGAAATTCTGAGTACTAAAGAAATGTGTGAATATCTATTTACATTATTATTGGTATCTTCAAATTTGTACCATATAACCCGATTCCTGATGAAAAAAAAACATATAATAATTCAAACATCAACCCGACCATTTCAGATGTCGCTTCTTAGCGTTTCACAAATTGTGCGTGCAGAGCACTTGGTCAGCAATCAAGAAATGCCATCTTGATCAAATTAACAGTTCTATTTATACATGTAAAAGCGTGAACGAGAGAGTTTATTCAGGGTTCATATTGGAAAAATTTTGGTGTCGTGGCGACTGCAGTTCGGTTGCTTTATTTAAAAAGATAACTGATATAAACTATGAAATTGACTGAGTTACATATATCCATTTGAGGTAGCCAAGGTCCGAAAAGGTAGTTCTGAGAAAAAGCAAGTGTTCTCTATCATATCAATAATCCGAGGGAGAATAGGTTTAGCCATTTCACCCTTAATTTTAATGGGCTCTTCTATTAAAAGGCAATAATGATTGGATAATTGCTGATAGTTTCAGCCAAATAGCGAAAATTACCGAAGTAATCACGTGAATATACGTGCATGTTTTAGTTAATACGTCGCCATTTTGGAGTAATTGAATTCAAAGCAAAAACAAAATGGATAGTAATACGAAGTGAGACGAATAATCAATCCTTTTTATTCGCCCACATTTTCATGTGGACATATATTGTCGTCACCCCTGTCCCTCCGTCCACAATTTGTTTGTGGATGCTCTACAGGTCACAATTCTTATCCGATTTTGACGAAACTTGAAATATAGGTTTATCTCAAAAAGATCTTGGTTGCTTTCAATATTGGCATGTATCGGATCGAAACTTCATGGATTATGGCCCCTGTTTGTCCGAAAAATCACGTTTTTAGCTTGTGGACACAATTTTAATCCTATTTTGATGAAACTTGAAATGTAAGTTTATAACCCAAAGACCTCGGTTCCTTTCTATATTTGCGCAGATCGGACTGTAACTTCCTGAATTAGGACCCCTGATTGTACGAAAAATCGCTTTTTTAGCTTGTGGACCCTATAGATGTCATCATTTTTCTTTGATTTAAAAAAAAAAACGTTTTAGTATATCACCGTTACACGCTAAGGACGGCTGAGTTGGCATTTCGTGAAAATCGACCCAAAGCTGACAGACAAAATGGCCGCCCTTCGTTCTCAAATAGCATAAAAATATGGTATATCAAGGTTGTGGACCCTGTAGAGGTCACAATTTCTATCCGATTTTGTTGAAAAATGAAATGTAAGTTTACAACCCAAAGATATCGGTTCCTTTCGATATTCGTGCATATCGGACAGTAACATCCTGAATTATGGCCCATGATTGTACGAAAAATCACGTTCTTAGCTTGTGGACCCTATAGAGGTCATAATTTTTATTTGATTTAAAAAAAAAAAACGTTTTAGTATATCACCATTACACCCTAAGGATGGCTGAGTTCGAATTTCGTGAAAATTGGACCAAAACTGACTGACAAAATGGCCGCCCATCGTTCTAAAATAGCGTAAAAATTTTGATTTTGTTGAAACTTGAAATGTAGGTTTATAACCCAAAGATCTCAGTTCTTTTCTATATTCGCGCATATCGGACCGTAACTCCAAGAATTAATGCCCCTGATTGTACGAAAATCGCTTTTTTAGCTTGTGGACCCTCTAGAGGTCACAATTTTTATCCGATTCTGATGAAACGTAAAATATATCTTTATATCCCAAAGATCTCAGTCCCTTTTGATATTTGCGCATTTCAGACCATAACTTTCTGGATTATTGCCAGGGAATCACGGTGGCTAAGTGGCTAAGACGCTGGCTCGCTAGCCTGGAGGTCGGGTGTTCGATCCCTGCATTGGCCGAGAAAGTTCATCCAGATTTTCTGGCGTGGTTTCCCCTTGTCAGTGATGCAGGACGGAGGGCCTGACAAGGACAGCTGTCTAGTCATTCGGATGAGACGAAAAACCGAGGTCCCGTGTACACATTGGCGTGCACGTAAAAGATCCCCTGACAGTTGGAATTCGATATAAGAGTAGGCCATAGTGCCGCTGTCCAGGCAAAATTTCCCTCATAGCACACTGTGTGGCGTATGCCCGTCTTCATTAGCCCAGTTCGGAGCAAAACAATAGGACGTTAAACCCCATTTCATTTCATTTCATTTCATTTCTGATTGTACGAAGGGGGGTTGGATGGCTGAATGGTTAGTGTGCGCGCGCTGTATCATAAAGTCTGTCATTGAGTCGACTGGCGTGGTTTCGAATCCCCGGTTGTACGTGACAAGGAGTAGGGTCGCCTGTCCAACCTCGTGGGTTTTCTCCGGGTCCTCCGGTTTCCTCCCACTGCTAAAGACCCCTGCGCGCAAGCGAATTATTGAAATAAAATTAAACCATATGTTAGTCCCAAAATGACCTAGTTTGTGTCGAGTGGACGTTAAACCCCATTTCTCTCTCTCTCTCTGATTGTACGAAAAATCGCGTTTTTAGCTTGTGGACCCTATAGAGGTCATCATTTTTCTTCGATTTAAAAAAAAAACGTTTTAGTATATCACCGTTACACGCTAAGGACGGCTGAGTTCGCATTTCGTGAAAATCGACCCAAAGCTGACAGACAAAATGGCCGCCCTTCGTTCTCAAATAGCATAAAAATATGGTATATCAAGGTTGTGGACCCTGTAGAGGTCACAATTTCTATTCGATTTTGTTGAAAAATGAAATGTAAGTTTACAACCCAAAGATATCGGTTCCTTTCGATATTCGTGCATATCGGACAGTAACATCCTGAATTATGGCCCCTGATTGTACGAAAAATCACGTTCTTAGCTTGTGGACCCTATAGAGGTCATAATTTTTATTTGATTTAAAAAAAAAAACGTTTCGGTATATCACCGTTACACCCTAATTGGACCAAAACTGACTGACAAAATGGCCGCCCATCGTTCTAAAATAGCGTAAAAATATGGTATATCAAGGTTGTGGACCCTATTGAAGTCACAATTTTTTTCTGATTTTGTTGAAACTTGAAATGTAGGTTTATAACCCAAAAATCTCAGTTCTTTTCGATATTCGCGCATATCGGACCGTAACTCCAAGAATTAATGCCCCTGATTGTACAAAAATCGCTTTTTTAGCTTGTGGACCCTCTAGAGGTCACAATTTTTATCCGATTCTGATGAAACGTAAAATATATCTTTATATCCCAAAGATCTCGGTCCCTTTTGATATTTGCGCATTTCAGACCATAACTTTCTGGATTATTGCCAGGGAATCACGGTGGCTAAGTGGCTAAGACGCTGGCTCGCTAGCCTGGAGGTCGGGTGTTCGATCCCTGCATTGGCAGAGAAAGTTCATCCAGATTTTCCGGCGTGGTTCTCCCTTGTCAGTGATGCAGGACGGACGGACTGACAAGGAAAGCTGTCTAGTCATTCGGATGGGACGAAAAACCGAGGTCCCGTGTACACATTGGCGTGCACGTAAAAGATCCCTTGACAGTTGGAATTCGATATAAGAGTAGGCTGTAGTGCCGCTGTCCGGGCAAAACTTCCCTCGTAGCACACTGTATGGCATATGCCCGTCTTCATTAGCCCAGTTCGGAGCAAAACAGTAGGACGTTAAACCCTATTTCATTTCATTTGGATTATTGCCCCTGATTGTAAAAAAATCACGTTTGTTTTTAGCTTGTTCTTTATCCATCTCTTGCAAAATGTGGGCGTATCCTGCCTGGCAGCCGCTGGTTAGCCAACATATTGACGATGGAATAGATGTGGATGCAGATATCGATGAGGATCTATCCAAAGCCTGAAGAAAATTAGGATCAAAAGGCAATCTTTTCCGATAATTCTGACAGTGAACTGTGATTGAAGGTTTTCGTTATGTTCAGAAAAGGATTTGACTGACTGTTTTAAGTTGACTATACCCAAAAATACTTTACAAAGGAACACTTGGGCGATAAATACTTTCAAGTCTTGGAGTGTGTGGAGAAATAATCGAAATGTCGACGGAAAGAAAATTCTGAAAGATACGCAACCTATCTTTTGTACCTTGTAAATGCTCTAACGAAAATTTATGAAATTTATATGTATTATTTAAATTAGTGAAACGAACAAGGCTATTGAGTTTCAGCAAATTTCCGTTAATTACATCAAGAGTTATGGCCCTTGATTTACTTTGTTGAACTTAGTGAACGTTCGAACGACAAAAGTTATCATCCGATCTGTATGGAATTTATATGCATTATTTGAATTAGTAAAACGAAAAAGCCTGTCGAATTTGAACAATTTCTGTAGATTACTTCCCGAGTTACGGCCATTGTTTCATCTGTATGAAATTGTCTAAATAAATTCCCCTAAATTACCTACAAAAGAATAAATATGTGACAACCCTTGTCGACTGCTCGGACGATTTAGCTGATGTGGACGTATGTTTTGTTGCCTGGCAACCTATCTTTAGAACCTTGTGAACCCTCAAACGAAAATTATAATGTCATCTGTATGAAATTGTCTATTAAATGCCCCTAATTACCTACAAAAGAATAAATATGCGACAATCCTTGTCGACTGCTCGGATGATTTAAGTGATGGGGGCGTATGTTTTGTTGCCTGGCAAGCTATCTTTTCAGTTGAGATTCTTTATGTAACCCATGATATATGACAGGAAGCTATTATTATTATTGTCTTACCTATAGGTTGGTGGAGGTGTTTCAGTTAAACAGCCTAGCAATGGACAAATGGTTGAAGGTATCATCAATAAGATTACTGATTCAAGCATGTATACTGTTGGTAGGTGATTTTTATATGCCCACATTTTCATGTGGACGTATATTGCCGTTGCCCCTGTCCGTCCGTCCACAATTGTTTGTGGACACTCTACAGGTCATAATTCTTATCTGATTTTGACGAAACTTGAAATATAGATTCATCTCCAAAAGATCTTGGTTGCTTTCGATATTGGCATGTATTGGACCAAAACTTCATGGATTATGGCCCCTGATTGTACGAAAAATCACGTTTTTTAGCTTGTGGACCCTATAGAGGTCACAATTTTTTATCCGATTTTGTTGAAACTTGAAATGTAAGTTTATAACCCAAAGATCTTGGTTCCTTTCAATATTTGCGCATATCGGATTGTAACTTCCTGAATTATGGCCCCTGATTGTACGAAAAATCACATTTTTAGCTTGTGGACCCTATCTATAGAGGTCATAATTTTTATCCGATTTAAAAAAACGTTTTTGTATATCACCGTTACACCCTAAGGATGGTCTTGAGTTCGAATTTCGTAGAAATTGGACCAAAACTGACAGACAGTATGGCCGCCCCTCGTACTCAAATAGCCTAGAAATAAGGTATATGAATGTTGTGGGCCCTCTAGAGGTCACAATTTTCTTCTGATTTTGATGAAACTTGAAATATAAGTTTATAACCCAAAGGTCTTGGTTCCTTTTGATATTCACGCATATCGGATTGTAACCTCCTGAATTATGGCCCCTGATTGTACGAAAAATCATGGTTTTAGCTTGAGGTCCCTCTAGAGGTCACAATTATTATCCAATTTAAAGAAAAACGTTTCAATACATCACCTTTACACCCTAAGGGTGTGTGAGTTCGAATTTCTTGAGAATCGGCCCAAAACTGACAGACAAAATGTCCGTCTCTCGTTCTCAAATAGCGAAAAAATATTGGAATATCAAGGTTGTGGACCCTCTAGAGGTCACAATTTTCTTCTGATTGTGATGAAACTTGAAATGTAAGTTTATTACCCAAAGATCTTGGTACCTTTCGAAAATCGCGCATATCGGATCGTAACTGCCTGAATTATGGCCCCTGATTGTACGAAAAATCACGTTTTTAGCTTGTGGACCCTATAGAGGTCATAATTTTTATTCGATTAAAAAAAATGTTTTAGTATACCGGTATCACCGTCACACCCTAAGGATGGTTGAGTTCGAATTTTGTGAAAATCGGCCCAAAACTGACAGACAAAATGGACGTCCCTCGTTCTCAAATAGCGTAAAAATATGGTATATCAAGGTTTTTTAATTATGGGTGTAATCGCGTGAATGAAAAACAGTTTACTATAATTAGTGCCAGATTTCTGGCCCTTGATCACTTTGGAAAATCTTTTGACGCTCTAAGGGTCAATGTTAATATCCGATTGACTTTTAATTTATACACAGTGTTTAAGGTCATGAGACAAAGAATCCTATTGATTTTCAACGATTTCCGATAATTACTGCAAGATTTATGGCCCTTGATCACTTTGAAAAATCTTGTGGACGCTCTAGAGGCTAAAGTTAATATCCGATTGACTTTAAATTTATACACAGTGTTTAAGGTCATGAGACGAAGAAGCCTATTGATTTTGAGCAATTTCCGATAATTACTACCAGAATTATGGCCCTTGATCACTTAAAAAAAATCTTGTGGACGCTCTAGAGGTCAAAGTTAATATCCGATTGACTTTAAATTTATACACAGTGTTTAAGGTCATGAGACGAAGAAGTCTATTGATTTTCAGCTTTTAAGATTGATACACAGAGTTTAAGATCTTGAGACGAACAAGTATATTGATTTTCAATGAATTTTTATGACTTGAACAGCTAAAAATCAATGATACTAAAAGTTTCGTATACTAAACGTTAGCATGGGGCAGAATTTTATAAAAAACATACAAATTCTAATGGTTTTCTGATAATTTCTTCATGAGTTGTTACTCATAATCAGATTTTCGTGTATTATAAATGTTTCATTACCGAAAAAAGTAAAAGTATGCGACAACACTTGTTGACTGCCCGGATGATTTAGCTGCTGTGGGCGTATGTATCGTTGCCTCGCAACCTATCTTTCTTAAAGAAGCCCTCAATAACCTCTTTAGATCCGAGCAACTTCAAGTCATGTGGTACGTTTTCAAACAACTTCCAATCATCGGTATCACTCTATGTTTGGCCTTGTGTCCTGTTTGCATTATACAGAAGTGCCTGGATAACACGTGACTATGTGCTGCGGGTGCGCAGTGGCATTTCCGTATTACTTTCAGTTTGTTTTGTTTTAGTCTGGTGACAATGGAACTTAGCCGTTTATGGCTCTGTGTTGATTACGATTTATCGTTTTTTATACGCCCACATTTTCATGTGGACGTGTATTGTCGTCGCCCCTGTCCAACCGTCTGTGCACAATTTGTTTTTATCCGTTTTTGACAAAATATAGGCCTATCTCCCAAAGATCTTGGTTCCTTTCGATATTGGCATGTATCGGACCATGGATTATGGCTTGTGGACACTCTAAAGGTCACAATTTTTATACGCCCATATTTTCATATGGACGTATTATGCCGTCGCCCCTGTCCGTCCGTCCACAATTTGTTTGTGGACACTCACAATTCTTATCCGATTTTGACGAAACTTGAAATATAGTTTTATCTCCAAAAGATCTCAGCTGCTTTCGATATTGGCATGTATCTGATCGAAACTTCATGGATTATGGCCCCAGTTTGTACGAAAAATCATGTTTTTAGCTTGTGGACCCTATAGAGGTCACAATTTTTATCCGATTTTGTTGAAACTTGAAATATAAGTTTATAACCCAAAGATCTCGGTTCCGTTCGATATTCGCGCATATAGGACCATAACTTCCTGAATTATGGCCCCTGATTGTACGAAAAATTGCGTTTTTAGCTTGTGGACCCTATAGAAGTCATAATTTTTATCCGATTTAAAAACCCGTATTACTATATCACCGTTACACCCTAAGGACGACTGAATTTGAAATTCGTGAAAAGCGGCCCAAAATTGACAGACAAAATGGCCGCTGTTCGTTCTCAAATAGCGTAAGAATATGGTATATCAAGGTTGTGGACCCTATAGAGGTCACAATTTTTATCCGATTTTGTTGAAACTTGAAATGTAAGTTTATAACCCAAAGATCTCGGTTCCTTTCGATATTCGCGCATATCGGACCATAAGTTCCTGAATTATGGCCCCTGATTGTACGAAAAAAAACAACTTTTTAGCTTGTGGACCCTATAGAGGTCATAATTTTTATCCGATTTAAAAAAAACATATTATATCACCGTTACACCCTAAGGATGGCTGAGTTCGAATTTTGTGAAAATCGGCCCAAAATTGACAGACAAAATGGCCGCCATTCGTTCTCAAATAGCGTAAAAATATGGTATATCAAGGTAGTGGATCCTATAGACGTCACAATTTTTATCCAATTTTTTGAAACTTGAAATGTAAGTTTATAACACAAAGATCTCAGTTCCTTTCAATATTCGTGCATATTGAATTGTAATTTCCTGAATTATGGCCCTTGATAGTAGGAAAAATCACTTTCTTGTTAGCTTGTTCTCCATCTCTCGAAACTGTGGGCGTATCCTGCCTGGCAGCTGCTGGTTAATCAATTTTGATGAAACTTGAAATGCATGTTTATAAGCCAAATATCTTGTTTCCTTTCGATATTCGCGCATATCGGATCGTAACTTCCTGAATTATGGCCCCTGATTGTACGTAACATCACGTTTTTAGCTTGTGGTCCTTCTAGAGGTCACAATTTTTATCCGATTTAAAAAAAACATTTTAGTATATCACTGTTACACCCTAATGATGGTTGAGTTCGAATTTTGTGAAAATTAGACTAAAACTGCTGGACAAATGGCCGCCCCCTGTTCGCAAATAGTGTAAAATATGGTATATTAAAGTTGTAGGCCCTCTAGAGGCCACAGTTTTCATCCGATTTTGATGAAACTTGAAATGCATGTTTATAACCCAAAGATCTCGGTTGCTTTCGATATTCGCGCATATTGGATCGTAACTTGCTGAATGATGGTCCCTGATTGGTCAAAAAATCACATTTTTAACTTATGGATTCTCAAGAGGGAACAATTTTTTTTTTTTATTTTAAAAACCGTTCAGATCACTATTCCACCATAATGAAGGTTGAATTGGAATTTTTGGAAAATCGAAATGAAACTGCCGACAAAATGGCCGCTCTTTTTAATATATCACCGTTACACTGCAATGAAGGTTGAATTCGAATATCGCGAAAATCGGACCAAAACTGCCGGACAAAATGGCCGCCGCTTGTACACGAAGAGTGTAAAAATATGGTATATCAAGGTTGTGGACCCTGTAGAGGTCACAATTTTAATCCGATTTTGATGAAACTTGAAATGCATGTTTATAACCCAAAGATCTTGGTTCCTTTCGATATTTGCGCATATCAGATTGTAACTTCCTGGATCATGGTCCCTGATTTTTAAAAAAATCACATTTTTAACTTATGGATTCTCTAGAGGGAACAATTTTTCTTTTTGATTTTAAAAACCGTTCAGATCAGTATTCCACCATAATGAAGGTTGAATTGGAATTTGGGGAAAATCGAAATGAAACTGCCGACAAAAAGGCCGCTCTTTGTATACAAATTGTATATAAATATGTAATTCAAAGGTTATGGACCCTCTAGAGGTCACAATTTTTATCCAATTTTGATGAAACTTAAAGCATATCTTTATATTCCAAAAATCTCAGTTCCTTTTAATATTTGCGCATTTCAGACCATAACTTTCTGGATTATGACCCCTGATTGTACAAAACATCCTTTTTGTTTTTAGCTTGTTCTCTATCATCTCTTGCAAAATGTGGGCATATCCTGCCTGGCAGCCGCTGGTTTATCTTATTCTCTGTCCATCTCTTGTAAAATGTGGGCAAATCTTGTATGGCAACCGCTTGTTTAGTTTTTTTATTTATTTTTTTTCTGTTCATGTACAGTATTTGATGATGGAGATGAAGCAACACTAAGAAGAAGTCAATTGTGTTTGAAGGGAGATAAACATTTTACTGAGAGCGAAGTAAGTACTGTAAACTTAACAATATTTTTGACAGCACAAAGTGTAGAAATCTGAAAATAGTTCAAAAATAAATAATGAAAAATTCCACTTTCATCTGAGCTTCTGAAGGGCGCGATGGATGAGAAAAATTTTATGTATATACAATGGACTCTGTCAAATCCAACATCATACCAATATGTCGGATTATACAGAGTGTCAGAATACCCAGTTTTCTCAAAACCGGAAATATTGTAACTTCGAAAACCGAAAGTATTATTATAATGTAGTTTTGAATCACCAGAATGTTATTCCCTTTGAAAATGATAAACCTTTCTGTACATTCAAAATTTTATTAAATTAATTTTTATTATACGCCCACATTTTCATGTGGACGTATTATGCCGTCGCCCTTGTCCGTCCGTCCACAATTGTTTGTGGACTCTCTACAGGTCACAATTCTTATCCGATTTCGACGAAACTTGAAATATAGGTTTATCCCCAAAAGATCTCGGCTGCTTTCGATATTGGCATGTATCGGATCGAAACTTCATGGATTATGGCCCCTGTTTGTACATAAAATCACGTTTTTAGCTTGTGGACCCTATAGAGGTCACAATTTTTATCCGATTTTGTTGAAACTTGAAATGTAAGTCTATAACCCAAAGATCTCGGTTCCTTTCGATATTCGCACATATCGGACCATAATTTCCAGAATTATGGCCCCTGATTGTACGAAAAATCACGTTTTTAGCTTGTGGACCCTATAGAGGTCATAATTTTTATCAGATTTAAAAAAACTTATTATTATATCACCGTTACACCCTAAGGACAACTGAGTTTGAATTTCATGAAAATCAGCCCAAAATTGACAGACAAAATGGCCGCCGTTCATTCTCAAATAGCTTAAAAATATGGTATATCAAGGTTGTGGGCCCTATAGAGGTCACAATTTTTATCCGATTTTGTTGAAACTTGAAATATAACCCAAAGATCTCAGTTCCTTTCAATATTTGCGCATATCGGACAGTAACTTCCTGAATTATGGCCCCTGATTGTACGAAAAATCATGTTTTTAGCTTGTGGACCCATTAGAGGTCATAATTTTTATCTGATTTAAAAAACCGTATTATTATATCACCGTTCCACCCTAAGGACAGTTGAGTTTGAATTTTGTGAAAATCTCCCCAAAATTGACAGACAAAATGGCCGCCGTTCATTCTCAAATAGCGTAAAAATATGGTATATCAAGGTTGTGGACCCTATAGAGGTCACAATTTTTATCCGATTTTGTTGAAACTTGAAATGTAAGTTTATAACACAAAGATCTCAGTTCCTTTCGATATATGCGCATATCGAATTGTAATTTCCTGAATTATGGCCCTTGATTGTAGGAAAAATCACTTTCTTGTTAGCTTGTTCTCTATCCATCTCTCGAAAATGTGGGCGTATCCTGCCTGGCAGCCGCTGGTTTCATTTAACATGCCTAGGTATTTTGAATAGGTCAAGTCTGCCATTAATTTATCTTTTTCGCCGTCTTCAGTTGATCGCACTCTTGTCTTTGCAATCACGTGTTCATTGATAATGGGCGTACTCGATTGAACGTTCCGGAATTGAATTCTCTCAATCCCAAAAATAGTGACAATCGAGTGAAAATGGGTACTTCGGGCTACAACACATTCATCGACTGGATATCTCATCCAACCATGCAGCCGAAACCTGTTCGTGGTGTTTAATTACGTCACAATTCTACTCACACCACCTGCATTGTCGGGTGTGACAGGACTGAATTCTGCGTCACTCGATTGCAATTCTGTCAATTCAGGACGTTCCGGACTGTGAATCGAGCATCCCCAGGTCGTCGTCACATGGTTCGAAGAGATCCGTAGGATGACCAAACTTATATGTTATTCAGGTTCAATCGGCATGCGCAACGAATGTTTCCAACAGGCCTAGGAATATTTTTACGACTGTGAATTCGGGGGAATTGCTTGTTAATCTTTTGTGGCTTCATGTCCATCGAGTTTTAATCTCACCGATGATTGGTGAGTGTTTGCTTCACATCTACCGATTGAAGGCCGGATTATACGATGTCGATTCAATGGAAATCATATGACGGGACGGCTGGTTGATGTCGCAATCCGGAATATTCAGATTTTTTGGCTGCAGTAATAAGGAAATAAATCGAGACACTGTAACATTGGTACCGTTTAATCTAGCGTAAATAGCATTAATTTCTACTCTGTGTCCAATTATTCATAAATATTGTTGAATTTTGGCGAATAGTGCTCAATTTGTACTAGTGTTTAGTTTCTCGACACATGTTGAATTATAAGCGTCCCGTCTAATTAAAGGGCCGGCGGAAGCAATTCTTGATTGGGGGGGCTTCCATCCTAGGTCCTTAAAGGCGTGGGTCCAGGGGCCGCAATAACCTGGAGAAAAGAATACTTGCGGCCAAATTATTGGGGGAGCTATAGCCCCCCCACTCCGCCGGGCCTGAATTAGCACGACTGTTCAATAATTAGTTGGATCGGTCAATTTCCCGAGCCGTGATTAAAATCAGTCAAGGTGTCCAATTACGCAAGGTGTTAAATTTTGTTGTCAAACATCTAATTTCACGTGCGATGTTCAGATAATACGATGTGTTTATAGTTGTTGGTCATCGTTCAGTTTTGCAGCACAATTATCACCACGGTTTCGGGGCTATTCTTGGTTTGAATATGCACCCAGGTGAAACATATAGATGAGCTAGGATTGGGGGTGTATAGCTATCAACTTTATTGTTTCAAATATGTTTACAATTTATCTCGTTTAGCTGTACTGGAGTCAAGAGTAGACAATTTTGTTCACTCTGCCCGCTTTCTCCACCATATAACACCGTTCGACTTTCAGGGAATGTAGCTCGTCGACGTGTGTTCTGTAAGTATCAGAAATGAATACAGATTCTTGGAATGGATCTTCAACACTTTATTTCAGGAGCAAATAATTAACAGCAACAATTTAACAACTTATAATTTCATATACAGTTCCTCCCAAATTTTTGGGACCGAAATCGCCGTGACGCGGTGAAAAAAAACTCTCGGAATTCTCTTAGATTTCACGGTGAAATTTCGCTTGAACCCGTGGCGATTTTTCTCTAAGATTCTCTAGGAATTCACCGTGTTTCTCTAGGAATTCACCGTGTTTCGATAAGAATACATCGCGAGCCTACCTTAAGCTAGGGTCGAACTAATATTGTCTATAATAAATTAAAGGAGTTGTAATATAGTAAGGGTCCCGGGAAACGTGTACATGTATAATATACAGGCCGGTTTGAATAACAAATGAGTTAGGTAATCTCGGGAAGACATTTACCGGCATTCTGTATCGGTTAGGATTTTTCCCCAACGCACTTTATACATACATAACGCCGGCCAAAATGTATGCAAACTATGAACAACTTACAATTTTTTAAACATATCAATTCATTTTCGTCTATAACTTAGATGTAATCCGTCAATTTGGGGCTGCTATCAAATCCAAACTTTAAATTATATACGATGAGCTTTTACACATTACTTCATTACTCACAGCTTCGGTTAATCTAAATCAATCATTCATACAGCACGTACAGTAAATCACTCCGCGGGTCGCTTAACGGTATGTTACGTGGTCAGAAACGCGCCAATTGATTGGGACTACATGTATATTCTTACGCTGTTTTACTCGGCGAATAATATCCGCTGTGACAATATACATCTACTTTATGTCACCCAATTCATTTCGGTGGGAGCAGATATTGAATAAAGCCATTTCACACACACATACGTGTACATTACTCGCAGCTTCGGTTAATCTAAATCAGTCATTCATACAGCACGTACAGTAAATCAGTCCGCGGGTCGCTTAACGGTATGTTACGTGGTCAGAAACGCGGCAAAAGATTGGGACTAATAGTATATTCTTACGCTGTTTTACTCGGCAAATAATATCTGCTGTGACAATATACATCTACTTTATGTCACCCAATTCATTTCGGTGGGAGCAGATATTGAATAAAGCCATTTCACACACACATACGTGTACATTACATGCGCCTCATATATTTATAAATAAAATAAAACCAAGTACGAACAATCCAAACCATTCTCGTCTTCACCCCGTTATAATTTACTTATTTTGAGTACACTTTCTGAATGATTCCATTCTTTTGTACGTCCAACTTGTCGATTTCCTACTGCATATACATGTACCCTGTTTAGCTGCAATCTATAAGCTTATACATACATGTATGTTTGCGTTTAAAATCTAGATATATCAGAAGCTTTAAAGTTATACTAGATGGTGAATATGCAAGTTTCATGGTTGAACCCACATCGATATTGCATAATATCGGACCCATATTTATCTTTGCTACTCGGACAAACCCAAAGAACCACTCGGACCAATTAAATTACATTATAAGGCTTGATTTATTCATTTTAAAAATATAATACAGACAATATGTTATTTATGATTAAATCACAATACAAAGAGGCGAATAATTTATAGATGAGTATATTCATAGCTTAAGAATGGCCGCTGCCGGTAAGTACATATTAGCAAATATTTATCTTTATTACATCAACAATTTAATTGTTTTTCATTGATGGGCTTCATGATGAAACAATACCACGGGTAAGTACATAATGCTTTATTATTTCAAAGAAAGCAGATGCATATTAAAACAAACACAATTATCAATTATTAAAACAACAATTAAAACAAATAGTGTATCAGTTGTAGCCGCGATTAAGAATTGAAAAGGGATGTTTTCTTAGGGAGCCAGACTTTGTTTTTGTAAAGAGCCTGCTTAACATTAGTATTGTATCTGATGATTACATTGTATTAACCACCTGAATGGGTCAAATTTAAAGAATGAAATGGCTTCCTGTAGATTTGTCGAAAGCCTTTGTCTGTTAGCTTGGTGGTTGAGAAGTATTAGCGTTTGTTCTCAAAATAAGTAAATTATAACGGGGTGAAGGCGAGAATTAACACACGTGTGGCCATTGTATAAATATATGACATGCGCATGTATTGTACACGTCTGTGTATGTGTGAAATGGCTTTATTTAATATCCGCTTCCACCGAAATGAAATGAGCGGCACACAGATGTATATTGTCACAGTGGATATTTGTCGTAAGAATGTCCCTTGGTTGAATGCATTTAAATGTACAGCCCAATCCATGGGCCATGGCCTAAGGCCGAAAATGGAAAGATTGCAAAATCATATTCTAAAAACAGGAAGCAGCTTCGGCTCTCTTATTTTTTGTCTGCGATATCACATATGTGGAAGCAGACGTTAAACACCAGGATACTACTACTACTATGGATACAGAATTTGTAAAATAACAAATACATGGCGCTGTCACTTTTGTGACTTTGGCAGTGTACCCCCTCCCACCCATATTATTTTAATAGGTCATAATACATTATTATCATATACCGGTGACTGTCAAGATTTGCTAAATACTTTTCGCCAAGTAACACAGCGTAAGAATATATAGTCCCCGTGTCGATCCCAACATCTCATGTTTTCGCGCGTTTCTGACCACGTGACTTACGGTTAACCGCATTGCAGAGTGCTTAACATGTATGGCACTGTGAGTTATGCATGGTTGATTTAGATTAACTGAAGCTGCGAGTAATGAAGTAATGTGTAAAATCTCATAGTATATAATTTAAAGTTTGGATTTGATAGCAGCCAATAAGATGAAATACGTTTAAAAAATTGTAAGTTACATGTAGATTGCAGTTACACAGAGTACATGTACACATGTATATGCAGTAGAAAATCGGGAAGTTGAACGTACAAAGAAATGGAATCATTCAAAAGTGTACTCAAAGTAAATTATAACGGGGTGAAGGCGAGAATTAACACACGTGTGGCCATTGTATAAATATATGACATGTAATGTACACGTCTGTGTGTGTGTGAAATGGCTTTATTTAATATCCGCTTCCACCGAAATGAAATGAGCGGCACACAGTAGATGTATATTGTCAAAGTAGATATTTGTCGTAAGAATATCCCTTGGTTGAATGCATGTAAATGTACAGTATTCTATGGATACGGAATTTGTAAAATAACAAATACATGGCGCTGTCACTTTTGTGACTTTCGCAGTGTACCCCCTCCCACCCATATTATTTTAATACGTCATAATACATTATTATCATATACCTGTGACAGTCAAGATTTGCTAAATACTTTTCGCCAAGTAACACAGCGTAAGAATATATAGTCCCTGTGTCGAACCCAACATCTCATGTTTTCGCGCGTTTCTGACCACGTGACGTACGATTAACCGCATTGCGGAGTGATTTACATGTATGGCACTGTGATTTATGAATTGGTTGATTTGGATTAACTGAAGCTGCGAGTAATGAAGTTATGTGTAAAATCTCATCGAATATAATTTAAAGTTTGGATTTGATAGCAGCCAATAAGATGAAATGATACGTTTAAAAAATTGTAAGTTATTCATTGTTTGCATACACGTACATTGTGGCACCACGTTATACCTGTACAGTGTGTTAGAAATAAAACATACGACCGTAGCTGCCTCGCCAACGGCAACGGTTAACATATCTTGTATTCAACTTAAAATAAATTACATTTTTCGTCAACATGCTTACACCGGGATGATATCGGCACTCAAGCGATTCACCGCGAAACACCATAATTCACCGCGAAACACCCTATTTCGCGGTGATTTGGCTAGCTGCCGTTTCGCTAGCGATTCTCCAAGATTCCACCGTGAAATAGAGTGTTTTTCCGCGGTGTTCGGCGATTATTGTCCCAAACTCCAGCACTGTAGTGTATATCGGACCTCCAACTAGTATGCTCTCCAACTAATGTCATCATCTAACATACATTTGTCTATTTATACAAATCAGTTACTTAGAAAGTGTTGACATAAACATATAATTATTGAAGGATTAAGATTTAAGGCATTTAAAACAATAGTTAGATGAAACTTAACAGATCAACCACTTTAGTTGCCAGCCTGTCATAATTTTACTGACAGGTTAATTGCTGCCTGCCTCTAATGACTAACCAAGCATTAATGAAAATTAAAATATAGAAGTACAAATTGAGCACTATTTGCCGAAATTCAACAATATTTATGAATAATTGGACACAGAGTAGAAATTAATGCTATTTACGCTAGATTAAACGGTACCAATGTTACAGTGGGACATGAAAATGGTGATCAGAGGTCGGATGTGACAGAGTGCACTGTATAGCCAAGGGCTCAAGGATTTATGATTGCATGTTTCTAGCTCGGTTGGCGACAAAGACTGTAACCGCAAACTTAATTCCTATAATGTAAGAAAACAAACTTATCCCACAGATTAAGTAATTTCAAGCTTTATTGATGAGAACTGAAATGGTAGTAGTAATTGTACGGTTCACATGTGACATAAACAGTTTAAAAATACAAGAAGGGTTGCAGGCAGGTTTAAATCTCAAATGAATAGATGTACATCTAAGTAAACAATTTAAATATTTGAACACTATTTACGATAGTTCATTGAGGATGTAAAAACAATGAAGAAATGAATGTTTTTGTCCCCCTCCTTACGAAGAAAGAAAGGAACTATTAAAATGGGTTAGTCCATCTGCCTTCTGTTATGCTTTTTGGGACACAATAACTCTCCTAACTGAGCTAGAATGTTCAAATTTGGTGCTTTGGGGCGCGCTAACTTTGGTTATAATTTAAAAAAATAAACGAAACTTACATTGGTTATGGTGAAGTTAAGATGAAGTCACTTTGTGCGCACCCATGCGTTCTTCAGTCTTTCAAGAAAGATTTTGCACCTCTTAATTGAATAACTAAAGTATAGATGCACATAATTGGTTATAACCGACAGCAAGTTCCATCATTAGTGATCTGTATTTAACAGATGTTGTTCAAATTTGGTGGGAAGCATTGGGGTCATAAGAGGATGAACACTATTGATCTTGAGCAGCGTTATCCCACTTTTCAGATTTAGGCTAGAGTTCTTGAAGGATTTTTTTCAAATTTGGTGCACAGCATTTGCATCTTGGAAGCTATCAGTTCGTCCATCTGTCCACCACTTGGAAATGTGGCTGATCTGTGTTCTCTTGTGATACTACGAAAAAATAAATATTCGACAAAGCTTGTTAACTTCTCAGAAAACTTAGCTGCTGTGGGCATATGTTTTGCTGTCTGACAAACTATCTCTGTTACAGACATTAGACAACTTACCACTGTCTCATCCAGAACATTTTGGAACTCCAGTTCTACAGAAGAAAAAGAAAAAACATTCTTGTTCAGGGTATGTACTTCGTCCCCCATGCAGGGGGCTGTTAACACTGTACATCTGGTACATATTGTGTACTTTCAAAATATCGTTTGATAATGGTTAAAAACCGTTTGGAAACTCCCAAAATAGTGTAGTTTGGAATATATACTCATAAAAAAAAGTAGGGGATATTGAAATGCGAATAGCTATGCAGGTTGTGATATGATAAATAGTCATGGACACTAGACATACTTTGAGAGTATGTTCACAGATGAAGAACTTATCGCCCTAACAGAACCGCTGAGCTGCACGTGCGACACGCAATAGCGCCATACACTTGGGAGGGTTTCATTGTCAAATTTGACACTTCAAGGAAGGGTTGATGAAAACTGCCGCGTGCTGGTTTATCCTATCCATATTTGCTTTCCTATCGGTTCTTGCGTAAGATTTACTGTTTAGCGTATCTACGTGGGAGATGTTCATTGTCAAATTTGACACTTCAAGGAAGGGTTGATGAAAACTGCCACGTGTTGGTTTATCCTATCCATATAAGCTTTTCTATCGGTTCTTGCATAAGATTTACTGTTTAGTGTATCTTTGCTTTAGTGTGGTACGTTTAATTTGCAATGAGATGTCTTCAACATGACGAACGTCTACGTGCTATTGGCATGCTTCAAATGGGTTCAACACAGCAAGCAGTAGCCAACATGCTTAATGTGTCACTACACAAGCAATGGATCGAAACATTCGTATAATCGAGAACAAACGGCCAATCAGCTTTCTGTAAACTTGTACCAAGTTACAGGAATTCGAGTTACACCCCAAACGATTAGAAATCGGCTACATGCAGGCGTGTTGTGCCTCATGTGGATGTATTTTGTCGTCGCCCCTGTCCGTCCACAATTGTTTGTGAACTCTAGAGGTCCCAATTCTTATCCGATTTCAACGAAACTGTATCTCGGTTCCTTTTGATATTGGCATGTATCGGACTGTAACTTCATGGATTATGGCCCTTGATTGTACGAAAAATCACATTTTTAGCTTGTGAAAACAGGGCTGCCGACAACCAGTATCGCAGCGCAATTTGCGATACATATTTTGTCCGTTGCTAACCAAAAATTAAAATCTAATGTTTTTGATTCGCAGTTACTGCGAATCATCAATATGCCTGTCATTTTGGATATTGACACAAGAATAATCCACATTTTGAAGACTAGAAGGCTTACTCAACACTTTCAACGTGTATAAAATGTTGAATAAAATTTTATAAACAAAACTGAATTCTCCGCGTGACATTTTCTTCTTGAACTACCCAAACACGGAACATATCTCTATGAATAGGGACTATTAAACCGGAAATAGGGAATCAAGTAGTACCACTCACATTGCGAGAAATCAAGTAATTATATCATATTCATTTTGAAAGAAATAAATCCAGTGTATCCCCCACGCATTGTAAATAAAATATAAAAAAATAAATACATGTTAACGTATTGTAAAATGATAAATCAAAGTAAAAAATTCCCGTAAAATATTATTGTTTATATCACGTGTGTCTAGTTAATCGAGGTGCGCCCGATTGAACAAAAATAGTAATACTACTAATAGTAATACACAATAAAAAGAAGACAAATTGTTTTCTAACGAAGATTTCTAACGTGACAAAAAATAACAATTAAAATGAATGGGGCTTCGGAAGTCACTGTCAAGAATTGGCTTCAGACATAAGACCTAACTAAATGTCTACATCACATTCACAAACTGTCACAAGTACTTGTGGCAGTGCTAAAAAATCTAAGAATTTAAAGAATAGTCAGAATGGAATCTAATCATATTTGTTATGAATTAAAGTAATATCTTGTTATTTAGGTGTTTTACGTTGAAACTGAAAAACTGCTAATCAATTTTTAAATTTGCTAATCAAATTTGGCAAAATTGGACTTTTTAATCAACTGTGAAAAATTACCGACAGCCCTGTGTGAAAACTGTAGAGGTCACAATTTTTATCCGATTTGGTTTAAAATTGCAATATATGTTTATAACCCAAAGATCTCAGTTCCTTTCGATATTGGCGCATATCGGACCATAACTTCCTGAATTATGGCCCCTGATTGTACGAAAAATCACGTTTTTAGCTTGTGGACCCTATTGAGGTCATAATTTTTATCCGATTTAAAAAAACGTTTTAGTATATCACTGTTATCACCGGCCATCGTTCGCAAATAGCGTAAAAATATGGTATATCAAGGTTGTGGACCCTATAGAGGTCACAATTTTTATACGCCCACATTTTGGACATATATTGTCGTCACCCCTGTCCGTCCGGACGTCCATCCACAATTGTTTGTGGACTCTCTACAGGTCACAATTTTTATCCGATTTTGACGAAACTTGAAATATAGATTTATCCCCAAAAGATCTTGGCTCCTCCTTCGATATTGGCATGTATCCGATTGAATCTTCATGGATTATGGCCCCTGATTGTACGAAAAATCACGTTTTTAGCTTGTGGACCCTATAGAGGTCACAATTTTGAACCGATTTTGATGAAACTTGACATGCATGTTTATAACCCAAAGATCTTGGTTCCTTTCAAGATTTGCGCCCATCGGAACGTAATTTTCTGAATTATGGCCCCTGATTACGAAAAATCGCCTTTTTATACGCCCACATGGAGTTATGGCCCTTGTTTCACTTTGTTGAATCTTGTGAACGCTCTAATGACAACAGTTATCATCCGATCTGTTTGAAATTGATATGCATCATTTAAATTAGTGTAATGAATAAGCCTATTGAATTTCAGCAATTTCCGTTAATTTCTTCTGGAGTTATGGCCCTTGTTTCACTTTGTTGCACCTTGTGAACGCTCTAACGACAAAAGTTATTATCTGATCTGTATGAAATTTATATGTATCATTCAAATGAGTAAAACAAACAAGCCTATTGAGTTTCAGCAAATTTCCGTTAATTACATCTAGAGTTATGGCCCTTGATTTACTTTATTGAACTTTGTGAACGTTCGAACGACAAAAGTTATCATCCGATCTGTATATTATTTGAATTAGTAAAAGGAAAAAGCCTGTCGAATTTGAACGATTTCTGTAGATTACTTCCAGAGTTACAGCCCCTGTTTTAGTTTTTAGAACCTTGTGTACCCTAAAACGACGAAAATTATAATGTCATCTGTATGAAATTGTCTATTAAATTCCCCTAATTACCTACAAAAGAATAAATATGCGACAACCCTTGTTGACTGCTCGGACGATTTAGCGGCTGTGGGCGTATGTTTTGTTGCCTGGCAACCTATCTTTTAGCTTGTGGTTCCTCAAAAGGTCACACGATTATTATCTGATTTAAATAAATGTGTGATTATATCACTGTTACACCGTAATAAAGGTTGAGTTCAAATTTCCTGAAAATCAAACCAAAACTGCCGGACAAAATGGTCGCCAATTGTACACGAATGGTGTAAAAATATGGTATATCAAGGTTGTGGACCCTGTAGAGGTCACAATTTTAATCCTATTTTTATGAAACTTGAAATGTAAGTTTATAACCCAAAGATCTCGGTTCCTTTCGATATTCGTGCTTAACGGACCATAACTTCCTGAATTATGGCCCCTGATTGTACGAAAAATCACGTTTTTATACGACCCTACATTTTCATGTGGACGTACATATATTGTCGTCGCCCCTGTCCGTCCACAATTTGTTTGTGGACTCTCTACAGGTCACAATTCTTGTCCTATTTTAACAAACTTGAAATATAGGTTTATCCCGAAAAGATCTCGGCTTCTTTCGATATTGGCATGTATCGGATCGAAACTTCATGGATTATGGCCACTGTTTGTACAAAAAAATCACGTTTTTAGCTTGTGGACCCTATAGAGGTCGCAATTTTTATAAACCCACATTTTCATGTGGACGTATTATGCCGTCGCCCCTGATTGTACGAAAAATCGCGTTTTTAGCTTGTGGACCCTATAGAAGTCATAATTTTTATCCGATTTAAAAACCCGTATTGCTATATCACCGTTACACCCTAAGGACGACTGAGTTCGAATTTCGTGAAAATCGGCCCAAAATTGACAGACAAAATGGCCGCCGTTCGTTCTCAAATAGCGTAAAAATATGGTATATCAAGGTTGTGGACCCTATAGAGGTCACAATTTTTATCTGATTTTGTTGAAACTTGAAATGTAAGTTTATAACCCAAAGATTTCGGTTCCTTTTGATATTCGCGCATATCGGACCATAACTTCTTGAATTATGGCCCCTGATTGTACGAAAAATCGCGTTTTTAGCTTGTGGACCCTATAGAAGTCATAATTTTTATCCGATTTAAAAAAACGTATTATTATATCACCGTTACACCCTAAGGGCGACTGAGTTCGAATTTCGTGAAAATCGGCCTAAAATTGACAGACAAAATAGCGTAAAAATATGGTATATCAAGGTTGTGGACCCTATAAAGGTCACAATTTTTATCCGATTTTGTTGAAACTTGAAATGTAAGTTTATAACACAAAGATCTCAGTTCCTTTCGATAATCGCGCATATTGAATTGTAATTTCCTGAATTATGGCCCTTGATAGTAGGAAAAATCACTTTCTTGTTAGCTTGTTCTCTATCCATCTCTCGAAAATGTGGGCGTATCCTGTCTGGCAGCCGCTGGTTCAACTTAACGTCATACGATGGCTATTTAATATTTTGTAATAATTTTAAAATATTTTGGAAGCCGATATCCTGTTCTTTTGCTTGGTATAATTTTTATATATGTGTTCATTTTATTAATTTCATAAACGTAAGTTGAAAAACGTCAATTTCCCGTGTTTTGACGTTACGCTGAAAATTTTTGTCACGTTTTGAAATGAGGGTACCCCACTTCAAGGGCTCGGCGGCGGTTCCTATTTTTAATATTATTTTTTATACGCCCATATTGAAATGTGGTCGTATATTGTCGTCGCCCCCGTCCGTCTGTCTGTCCGTCCGTCCGTTGGTCCGGCGTCCACAAGCTAAAGTTAATATCCGAT